AACAATAAAGATAAATTTTGCCCAGCTCAGTGGTTGGTTGTTGACCTATGAACTAAAAGGTCATGTGTTCAATTCCTGGTCAGGGCACATGCCCAGGTTGCAGGCTCGATCCCTAGTGTGGGACTTGCAGGAGGCAGCCAATCAATGATTCTCGCTCATCATTGATGTTTCTGTCTCTCTCTCCCTCTCCCTTCCTCTCGGAAATCAATAAAAAAAAATTTTTAAAAAACCAATAAAGATAAATTTTTAAAATGTGGTATACATATACAATGAATTATCACTCAGCCATAAAAAAAGGAAATTCTGCTACTTGAGGGCATTATGCTAAGTGAAATAAGTCAGACAGAGAAAGACAAATTATGTATGATCTCACTTATATGTGGAATCTAAAAAATCAAAACTCATAGATATAAGAACAGATTGGTGGTTGCCAGAGGTGAGGGTGGTGGTTGTGGGAATTGGGATAAAGGTGGTCAAAAGGAACAAACTTCCAGTTATAAGGGAAATAAGTCCTGGGGATATAGTGTGCAACATGGTGATTATAGTTAACAATACCATATTGTATATTTGAAAATCGCTAAGAGAGTAGACCTTAAAAGTTCTCATCACAAGAAAAAAATGTGTAGCCCTCCCCCCTCCAGTATCCAGATTGCATGCACAGAGGAAGAGGGGATATCTGGAGGTGGAGAATAAGTGTAAATATGGTTCTGTGATGATATCACAAATAATTGTTAAATTCCTTAAAGGCAGTGACCATTACCTAATAAAGTCAGGGCTGCATAAGTTTTAGGCTTCCACTGCTGATGGAAATGCTGCATTGGAAATTCCTCAGCACCATCTTCTTCCAGAAAGATCCCTCTAAGCAGAGGACCTGCTTTCTCTAGTATCGCTGCAAAACAACCTCTCTATCCTTAGTCAGCCCTACTTATTTCATAAGTAAAACTTATTTGTATTAAACTAAATGGGAGATGTTTTTCTATCATGTCTCCCTTCGATGCAGCTAGGGTAAATAATTTATTTTTGTATATTCTCTCAGAGTTGAAATAGATTTGGAAATGTTTCTCTATACTATGCATTATATTTTCAACAACATCCCCTCCTAATCTTCCCCCCACTCACCTTTATCAAATCCTCCCAATTTGTATTATTTATAAAGGTGCATATAAGGTCTGAGTATGTCTGTGTTCATGTGTGAGCATGTCAGCAGCATCTGTGTGTAGAGAAAGAGAGACTCAACAGGAGTGAGGAAGGTGTTGGTGTCTGATTATGTGAAGAGAGTCTTCTCTGTTACAGCAGAGACAATCCATGGCCAGGGTACCATGTGGACAGAACCCCCTGAGGTGAGGCTCTCCTCTTTTATTTATCTCTGCAGTCCCTGCCCCTCCTTACACATATTCTCCAACATCACCCTTCCTATGATCTGACATATACTTCCCTCAAGCGATGCTTTTCTTTTCTGTTGATCCCACTATGTCTGTTTGGTTGGCTACTTCCTATATAAATCCTAACTTTAGCTTCCCCACCACTTTCTCCAAAGCTGCTCAATTTGTATCAATCTTTTCCTCATATTGCAGGGCCATTTTTCCTACATTTTTGCATCAAATACTTTTGTAAAACTTTGATCACCCTGTTTCCCACCAGGAGTTTTTCTTTTCTTTTTTTTTTAAAATATATTTTTATTTATTTCAGAGAGGAAAGGAGAGGAGAGAGAGATAGAAACATCAATGATGAGAGAATCATTGATTGGCTGCCCCCCTGCATGCCCCCTACTGGGGATCGAGCCCGAAACCTGGGCATGTGCCCTTGACCAGAATCGAACCTGGGACCCTTCAGTCCACAGGCTCTAGCCACTGAGCCAAAATGGCTAGGGCAGAATTTTAAGGAGTTTTTCTTGTTACATTTACCTTTTTTATATTTTCCATCAGATGGAGAGACCTGGACTGAGGATCAATTAATTATCAAGTAGAAAACTGTTGCAGTAGGGATGCAACTACATGAAGGAGATGAATGTGAACAAAACAAACACAGGCCCTTGAATATGAACAAAACTTTGGAAATATTGCAGACTTTATCCAACAGCCACAAATTCTTACTGAAGAGAAATCTCAGATCAGTAATATATGCAGAAAATTATTCTGGCAGAGCTCATACCTTATTAGCATTTTTATGTTGGTTAATCCTTACCAAAGGATATTTTTCCATTGATTTTTAGAGAGAGTGGAAGGGATGGGGAGAGACAGAGAGAGAGAGACACATAGAGAGAGAAACATCTATGTGAGAAAGACACATCGATTGGTTACCTCCCATACACGCCCTGACCAGGGTGGAGGCTGGAGCCTGCAACCCAGGTACATGCCCTTGACTGGAATCGAACCTGGGACCCTTCAATTCGTGGGCCGATGCTCTATCCACTGAGACAAACCGGCTAGGGCTCATACCTTATTCAGCATGAAAAAAATCCACACACAAGAGAAATATATTATGAGTATCATGAATGTGGAAAAGCCGTTGGCCATAGTTCAAACCTTATTCAACATCAAAGAGAATACATGTTGAAGAGAAACCCTATAATGTAGTGGGTGTGGGAAAACCTTCCAGAGCAGCTCACACCTTATCCAGCATCAGATAATTCAAACAGGTGAGATGTCTTATGTGTGTAATGAATGTGGAAAAGTTTTTGGTTGGAGTTCAAGTCTTATTTGACATCAGAGAATCTATACTAGGGAAATACCCTATTAATATACTGAATGTGGTAAGGCCTTTAGTCAGAGCTCAAATCTAATAGAACATCAGCAAGTTCATACCAAAGAGAGACCATATGAATGCAATAACTGTGGGAAAACGTACAGTCATAAGTCACACCTTATTGAACATCATAAGGTGTTCAGCCATTTTGGCTCAGTGGCTAGAGCCTGTGGACTGAAGGGTCCCAGGTTCGATTCTGGTCAAGGGCACATGCCCAGGTTTCGGGCTCGATCCCCAGTAGGGGGCATGCAGGGGGGCAGCCAATCAATGATTCTGGGGAGACTCCTTACAATTAAAATGAGTGTGGGAAATCTTTTAGTAGAAGTTGATGCCTTATTAAATATCACAGAATTCACACTGGAGAGAGACCCTATGAATGTAGTGAATGTGGAAACTCTCACCTCATTCAGCATCAGAAGACGCAGAGTGGGTCAAACCTCTGAATTTAAAGAATGTGGGAAAACCTTCAAGCATAATTCATACCTTATTGATCATCTGGAAATTCATACAAGTGAGAAACTGTGAATGAAATGAAGGTGGTATCACCTTTGGTTGGAGTTCAGCTCCTATTGAACATCGGAGAACTCACCCTGGGGTGTAGTGGGTGTGGACAGCCTTCAGTCCTAGTTCAGCTTTTATTTATATTAAGACCTGAAAGTCCACATAGTGGACAGATCTCATAGTTGTGTTTAGTGTATGAAAACCTTTAAATTCAGTTCCTGCCTTATTCAGCAGGTTCACTTTGGAGGAATGATGGATATGGGAAAACACCTAGCTGTGTGTCAGAGAAGGGCACAAAAGGGGCACAATGCAGCACTAAAGCTGATGACTAAAGTGGAACCTTAGTACTAGTTTCATTTGATCTGAGGATCTCCATCAGAGGCAGGTTCTACGGGTTGCTTTTCAAATCTCTAGTCATCTGCTGAAAATGGAATGAGTTAGGACTATTCCAGGGAAGAAAGAATCAGGGAGTTTGGGATTCAGACTCCTAGATCAGGAAAGTGATATGTGATGCTTGAACCCAATAGCTTTTCTTGTATCTCATCTGTCCTGTTTGTTGTAACTGTAGATAGAAATGGCTTTGGGTTTTCTTGAGACAATATATCACTCCTCAATGTCCTGCAGACTACTGAACCTCTTTGTTTAATGTGACACAAATACACTTAATAAATGTGCAGGTTGCCCCAGCTAGTTTGGCTCAGTGGATAGAGTATCAGCCCGTGGACTGAAGGGTCCCATATTCAATTCCTGTTAAGGGCACTTGCCCAGGTTGGGTTGCAGGCTAGATCCCCAGTAGGGGGCATACAGGAGGCAGCCAATCAATGATTCTCTCTCGTCATTGATGTTTCTCTCTCTCTCCTTCTCCCTTCCTCTCTGAAATCAATAAAAAAATAAAACTAAAATAAAATAAATGTGCAGGTTTTCTAAGCCAAATAATTTCTCAGTATGACGTGTCATGACTTTGTTATGTGTCAGCTTGGGTAGCTTAAACTGCATTTTCCAGAATTCCTTTTTTTGTATACTTCAGTTCATATGGGCTACAGACGTGGGAGATTCGGAGGCCAGAAGAAAATCAGCAGTTATTTTGTAACGCATACTCATTGCTGATCTGCTGACTCACCTCACTGGCCCGAATCAGCAGATGAGCCAGGTGTGTGTGTATCTTCCTGGCTCTGCTTCTCTGACTGAATCCTAGCGACACACATACTTACTATCCTTATGAGAAATACATATTTGTTTCATATTTGGATGGAAAAAATAGTGAACTTATAGCTGTTTTTTTTTAAAGACAATAGTAATTTTCACGATTTCCTATTAGAAAAAAGCTACTGTTCAAACTCCTTTAACAAAAATTCCATTATAACCTAAGGCAAAGCTTCAACATCATGTAATTATCGAGGAAAAGGTTTGCAAAGCAATGAATAGTGTGATATCTAATTGATTGATAAAATAAAAGGGAAAAAAAGTTTGAGCCCTTATTTACCATGAATATTTTAATCATTAAAAGAAGTTCCAAAGTACCCCTACTTAGGTTGTACAGTATTAGGTCTATTCTGGGGATCTGAGAGGAGTAAGTCTGCCCGGAGACCAAGCTTACCTGCGCGGGCCTGGGGGCCAACGGAAGCCTGGACCTCGAGCCCAAGGGGCAGACGAGCGTCGGGGTAGGGGCGGGGGCAGGGCGGGGGTTGGTCCCACTGCTCTGGGACCCCCTGGAGGGAAGGAGGGAAGCCCAGCCCCGAGACAGGGAGACCCCGATGGTGGCCCAGAAGAGGAAGGGGAACCGGTGGAGGGTGAGTGGAAGTAGCTTCACGGGTGGGGAGGGGGCAGACACGCAGAAGACACCCTCTGCTCCCCAGGGCTAAACATAACTCGTTCAGCTGTTGAGACCCACAGGGTGGTGTCTGGGGGTGGATGGCCTGGTTGGGGCCCATCTTTGGGTCTGGAAAATGTCACTGACTTTGGGGTCACGGAAGGTCTGGGCAGAGGAAGGTTGACAGCGGGAGGAAAGGCCTTCCTCCCCAAGGTCCATACGGTTCCCACCTGGTCTCTTCCCTCTTCCAACCCAGGTTTCCTTTATGCGCCCACCTCTTTACCCCTCAGCAGTTTCCAGGTGTCTCTGGGGGTGCACAGGGCCTGGGGAGGTGACCGGGCTGCACTCAGGCTGTTTCAGGGAGACTCCCAGAGGGAGCCCGGATTGAGGATCCTCTCCCCAAGCCCGTGGTTCTCAGATGCTGTTCCTGGCCTCACGGAGGTATTGATGTTCTTGGTGAACGGAGGCGCAGAGATGAGTCGGACGACAGGATACGGAGAAGCAGAGGGCTACCGCTCGCTCAGGAGAATAGCAAAGATCCTCTGATGCCTCATGGCTTTTATTGGGGGTGAACACAGCAAATAACAATGGAGTACAGCAAGTGACAATGATTAACAATGGGGTACAGCAAGTGACAATGATTAACAAACATGCTTTATGAAATCATCAAAGCTAAGTTATACATTATACTATTAATTTCCTATATTATACAAAGACTCTTTCCACCTGCAGCAGTGCACCCTCCCCTGAACTTTCTATGCCCTCATGGACTATTCATCACGTCAAGGAAAGTTCTGCCTTGGAACAATAAGTCTCGCTTGCAAGACTTTGTTCCGACGCGGCCCGCTTGCAGGCTCACGCCTTCTCCTGGCAGAGCGTCCTCTTCTAGTTAACTTCTTTCCGCTTGACCGCTACACGGAGGAGTACGAAGCTCTTCTGCTTCCAGTGTCTGAGGTCCTTTTATTTATTTTTTAAATATATTTTTATTGATTTCTGAGAGGAAGGGAGAGGGAGAGAGAGATAGAAACATCAATGATGAGAGAGAATCATTGATTGGCTGCCTCCTGCACGCCCCCTACCGGGCATCGAGCCTACAACCAGGGCGTGTGCCCTTGACTGGAATAAACCTGGGACCCTTCAGTCTGCAGGCTGATGCTCAATCCACTGAGCCAATCTGGCTAGGGCCTGAGGTCCTTTTAAAATGATTAAAACAGTCAATGATAGTAGATGACAGGGTTTTTTTTTTTGGTATGCCCTTACAAAATAAAAAATGGCCATCCTTCTGCTATTCTCTCTCCCTTTCTCACACATGCACACGAACATAGCTATTAGAGAAAATCTCGGGTTCCATTAAATTTCACATTTGTAAATCACTGAGCTGAACTGCTGGCCAGTAGGGGCTGGTGAAGTGGGAGAGGCAGCTAGGTGTTTTTCTGGTCCCTGGTCCTCACCGACTAACTGTGGGATCCTGGGCCAGTGGAGCCTGCTCCCCTGCTCTCTGTTTCTTCACCAGTACAAAGGGCTCTACAAATCCCCTCTATATTAAAATGTCAGTGGTCGAGTCTGGCCTATATCAGTGCATTTCCAAAATTGCATATTTGTCCAATCTCAGCACTAAGGGCTGTTCACATGCACGCGGAACCCTGGCCTATCCTCAGAGAAAGGTGAACAAGGCCCACCTCACTGGAGAGCAAGGTTGGGGGTAGAAGAGGGGTTGCGTGGGGTGGGGAGTGCAGACAGGAGGTGGAACACTGGGTGGCCTGTGGTAACCTCAGGCTGGGGAGAGGAAAGTACTGTGTCAATATAATGTGTTTATTTGTTTCTCTCTGCAGTAGTTACCAAGAGCCTGCAAATTCCTGGCCTCCCCCCCCACCCCCTCCTGTATTGTTCCCATTGACCTAAAATGGGCATGGGGCGTCCAGTAAGTGCACAGTTAATTTTTGTGGAGGGAATGGATAATGGTTGGTAGCTGGGAGGTCTACATGGAGTGGACAGACAGGATCAAGCTGAGCTTTGCAGGAGAGGTGGGATTGAGAAGGTCTGGAGGAGCAGAGAGGGCACCCTCAGGGAAGGACCCCAGGCATGGAAGCTGCAGATGCTTGGGGGGAGGTGTTCCAGGACTAGAGGGAGACACAAGGGGTGTGGGGCCAGGAAGGGTGCATGGTTGGGAAATTTTGTGAAAACTGAGAAGACAAGGAAGGTTGATGAGCTGGGAGCATGAGAGAAAGGGAGAAGCCAGCATGAGCTCCTGGCTATAGTGTGGGCGATGGAGAGGATGACTGAAATAGGGACAATGCTCAGGTCAGTTTTAGACAAGTTGAGGTTTTTGGGAATAGACAGGAAGGGGTACAGACCATCAGTTGAAAATGTCCAGGGTACTCCATCCCATCCAGAACATGGGGGTCAATATGTAGCCATGACTCCTACCTGGAGACTTTTATAGCTGGGACTCAGCACACTCTGGTTCCACCTATTTCATAATTGTAAAGCAAAGGGAACTGAGGCCCTGAAGTTCAGGCGACTCATCAGTAGACCTGAAGGGTGGAAGGGAGATCAAAAGGGTAGCTTTGGAGAGAGGGAAGGATCCAATTTTTCAGGTGGGGAGAAGAGAAACTGGTAAGTGACAGAAAGGAGGAGAAAGCACGTTAGAATGTTTCCAAAGCATTAAACATTTATAAACAGCATAGTTGGGTGGGAAGGCTGGGAAGGCACCCACACCTCTGTCCTCTGCCTTTAGACTTGTTTTCTTTTTTAAAAAATATATATATTTTTTGATTTTTTTTTTTACAGAGATGAAGGGAGAGGGATAGAGAGTTAGAAACATCAATGAGAGAGAAACATCGATCAGCTGCCTCCTGCACACCCCCTACTGGGGATGTGCCCTCAACCAAGGTACATGCCCTTGACCAGAATCAAACCTGGGATCCTTCAGTCCACAGGCCGACACTCTATCCACTGAGCCAAACTGGTCAGGGCTTACTTGTTTTCTATAGTGATCAACAGTTCTCAAAGCCTCAAAGACACTCCTGGTCCCAGCTGCAGTGAGGGGTGTCTGTATTGAGGACCATGGAGAGGCCCTGATGCATGAGCATGAGCAAGGGTGCTTGCACAGGATGCAGAGAGGTAAGAGCAGCACCTTCACTCCGAGGACCCTGTCTTCAGTAGCCATCATGCACAGCTTGAATCCTTGGTGCTGCCAAGCACTGCCTGGCTTATACAGGAGTCTCTGGGCCTGGCTATGGGCATGACTCGGAAAGAAGAGCTGTTCTGTTGTCTTAGGGTGCCCCTCATCTCCCTTGTCATGTGTCTCTCTCACCTCCTGATGCCTCCCTTCTGCACTACCAAGTGGGCAGGGTCATCACAGTGCTATCTGGATACATTCTGACCAGGCCTGCCCTCCCTGCAGCACCACGAGCTCCTACTCAACTCCTCTCCTTCCTCCACATGTTCCTCTCCACCTTGGGGAAAACTCATTCCTCAGGGCTGCCAGGCTTGGCAAAGGCAGAGAAGAACGCAGACTAGTTGAATACATTTTCCCTTAGACTGTGAATGGCCACTAGCCCCCTTTTCAACAGGAATATTTGAATTTTAGAAGAAGCCCATCCCCTTCCCCTACTCCCCCTCCCCCTTTAACCAAGCACTTGAGTCCCAGCACTGTGCTTGACCCTTCAGTACGCAGTATTTCATTTGGCTCTCCCAGTGACCCACTGGGCATTGTATCCTCCCTCTTCCAAATGGGAGACCCAAACTCCTGAGAGTTTTAGCAAGTTTCACGAAGTTACACAGCTGGCAAGTGATAGAGCAGGGATGACAGTCGAGGGCTTCTAAAGCCAAGTCCAGCCAGTTCTTATCGTCTACATCTCAGGTGCTCATTCAAAAGAAGGCATCTTTTTTTAAAAAAAATATTTTTTTATTGATTTCAGAGAGAAAGGGAGAGAGATAGAAACATTAACGATGAGAGAGAATCATTGATCATCTGCCTCTTGCACACCCCACACTGGGGATGGAGCCTGAAACCCTGGCATGTACCCTGACTGGGAATCTCACCATGACTTCCTGGTTCATAGGTCGACAACGCTCAACCACGGAGCCACACCAGCAGGGCAAAAGAAGGCATCTTTAATGACAGGTGGTGGTCAAGGAGAAGATATGAGGGATCCTTAACTAAGGGCCTGACCTCCAGGCCTAGAGGATACCTGGGGCTTCAGGAAGGTCTCTGAGACTTTTAAACTATTTGCAAAACTTGCTCTGTGCATATGATCTGCTCATTTTTCTGCAGATGGCTCCTCCTGGCCAGGTGGACCCCTTCCCATCTAAACCCAGCGTCCTGAAGCAAAAGGGCCAGTCACTGAGTAAGGGCACTTCAGACCTGGTCTTACCTCCCCCTGGTCCTCATTCTGAAATCTCAAAAGGCAAACAGCTGACTGAAGAGGGCGTTGGAGAGGTTCTTCTGTGGGTAATAACAATTGAATGGTTAGAACTTTAGAGCTAGGAGAGATTGCGGACAGCGTAGTCCAACCTCCTCATTTTACAGAGGTGGGAAAGGGGACCCTACATGCCTAAGGTCATCCAGTGAGTCAGTGGCAGAAAAGGTCTGTTATTTTAGGTCCACTGAAGAGGTCTGCAAGACTGTTAAGTTTATTGAGGCAAAGAAATCAGCATTCACTGAGCCTCACATATGTGCTCGCATTTCCTTAGATGCTCTCTCCTTGTACCACATGAGTATTGGGAGTATGTGCGCCCACCTCTTGCCCTCACTTTTCCCTTACACAGGTGATACTGACTTTAGAGGACAAAAACATAAAGGGCTTCACATGGGCCATAGCCCCCGCCTTGACTGCCCTGGGCTACCTGCTCATACTGCTGGTCACCATCTTCCCCTTCTGGGTGTGCCTTGTGAACGAGGAGTCCCGTGAAGTGTTTTACAGTGGCCTGTTTGAGAACTGCTTTCATATCAAGTGCTGGAAGCCTCGACCCTTATCCAGTAAGGAGGGATGGAGGCAGGGACTGGGGAGAGATGGGGCCGTTGCAGGAACTGGGGGTGGCAGGCGACAGGCTTTAATAATAAGGGCATTTTTCTCTGAGTCTCCGCTCCTTTGGGGTTAAAGGAGAGTAGGCGGCTGGGAGGGGGTTAATAATGCCAGGCTGACACCAGAGTCAGGAGCCAACGTGTCAGGAGCAACAAAGTTTATTTCTGGGGAAAGGAGTGGCCCAACATGTGATAAGGGGGGCGGGATCCTGCCCTCCTCTGTGAGGCTCTCCCACCTCTCAGGCTGCCATTGGCCCATCCAGGCAGCACCCTTTAGGCACCACTCCTAGTCGGGGGAGCAGCCTGGTGAGCAGAGCCTCCACTTGTCCCCTTGGCCACACACCTGTCCATCTCTGGGTGGCAGCTTTGCAGATACTGTGCTCAGGCCTGGGTACCACATTATCAAGGAGGCACTTGAGACCATGTTTTTTTAAGGAACTTGGAAAGTTCATGATGGTGTCTGTCTTGGAAAAGAGGTGACTCTGGGAGACCTAGGAATTATCTCCTGATTTTAGGAAAGAAGAGCCACTTTGGGGAAGAAAGGCCAGACTGTGTGAGCTCTTTGATCCAGGGTTCCTCAACCTTGGCACTACTGACGTGTGTGGTTGGGTAATCTTTGATGTGGGGGCTCCCCTGTTTCTTACAGGTTAATAACACTCCTGCCCCTCTTCTACCCACTAGATACCAGTAGAATCCTCCCTACATTAGTTGTGGCAAACAAAATTACTTCTTGGCATTGCCAAATATCTCCCATGGGGGGTGGGGGTTGTCTCTGGTTTAGAAGCACTGTTTTAACCCAAGGGTAGATTCTAGAACTCTGGGTCTTCAACACTACCTTTGTCTCTTTGTTCTACCCCCAGCTGTCCATTTCTGCATGCTCAGGAATGGATACAAACTCATTTTAACATGGGTCTGAATCATGCCAACAGTAGGAGAATAGACACCCTGTCTTTAAGACTCTGGCTCTGTTATTTCGGGTCTGTTTCATTACTTCTATTAACCGGGATAATTATAGGGGTTTCCTGCAGCGTTCAGAACATCTTGACTTTCCACCAGTGACTTGTACAGTGTGATCAATACAGATGTGATTCCTCATGTTTCCTTGTGTAACAAATTTTATCACCAGGGTTTTATTTTAATACTTTTTTTAAAAAAAAATGATTTTAGGAAGGCAGTGGGATAGAGAGAAACATCAATGAGAGAGAAACATCGATCAGCTGCCTTCTGCATGCCCCTTCTGGGGATCAAGCTCACAGCCTGGGCATGTGCCTTGACTGGGAATCGAACCAGTAACCTCTTGGTTCATGGGTTGATGCTCAACCACTGAGCCACCCTGGCCGGGCTATTTTATGTTGTTTTTAAAAACCACCATTTGTCCATCTAAATTTTTTTGTTTGTTTACTTCCATGTCATGGGGAACAAAATGGGGCCAGAGCATTCTTGGGGCCAAAGTGGCAGGGTCAGAACCTTGGTCCCAGACCACATATTGGGGAGCTCCAGGGGCCATCCCTGCCAAGGATCTGGGGGGCTTCGTGGGCTCTGCCCTTTGGGGTCAGGGTGCCCAGCACTTGCCCACTCTCCCTCCCCTGCAGTTTACATCATCCTCGGCCGAGTTTTCCTGCTGTTTGCAGTCGTCTTGTCTTTCCTCACCACCCTCACCATGGTGTCTTTTGCATCTCAGCTCTTTCCAAGGACCTGGAAGCAAACTTTTTTATCAGCCTCCATCAGCTTCTTCACAGGTGTGGAGCAGGCAGGCAGGCAGGCCATGGGGAGGGTCTGGGGAGGGCTCCAAAGGCAGGTGGGGAAGTTAAGGGGGAGGGGAGTGGTCTCTGCGGTGTTAGGAGAGAGGATTTGAAGGCCCCTCTCTTTTGTTGGCTTCTCTATGAAGTAGCCCACCCTCATACCTGCCCCCTCTGTATTTATGACCCCTTTCTTTGGGGCTTTTCAGTTCTTCATACTTCCAGCTAGCATAGTCCTTGCCACATTGATTGGGGTCATTTGTCTGGTGGCCTTTTACCATAATCTCTATCCCAGTGACTGGCCTAGAGTCTAGAATAGAATTCTAATGTAATTGAAATATATGATATAAATAAAATATAAATGTTTCTTAGATGAATGAATGGAAGGGGCTATCTCTGTCCTTTGGAACCTCTGACATTAAAAGGTTGACCAAGGCCTTCCCCTGCCATGAGATGAAGGGGCTGGAAGGCTTATGGTGGGAGAATCAGGTTGAGTTTCATCCAAAGCATCACGCCCAGAGGGCCCAGGCTGAGTCAGCTGAGGTCATGAGCACGGAGGGTACCCAGGAAAAGGATTTCTGATTAGGGAGGAGAGGCACATGGGCTTTGAGATGAGTTGGGAAAGAGGGCAAGACAGGTATGTGGGGTGGAAGTTATTGGCTCTGAGAGGGCAAGGTGTGCCAGCAAGAGAAAGGAGCCTCCGTGTAGGAGCCACATGGCTCTGTCTAATTAAGTCCGAGGGAAGGCTGGAGTGAAGGCAGAACCGCAGGAGGAGATTAAGCGGACTTCCCTGTGACCCTGCAGGGGCTTGTGCTTTCCTGGCCTTGCTGCTGCACGCCCTGGAGATCCAGAGTCTGAGGATGCAGCCCCGCCCGCCCCAGTTCTCCGTGCAGTGGCCTTACTATGTCCTGGGCTTTGGTATCCTTCTGTTCATAGTGGCTGGTGAGTGTCCTGGAACTGGTGCCCCTCTCCCTGCCCTCGGTCTGGATTCAGGAGCCTTGCTCTAGAGCTGCGCTGTTCAAAATGGCAATCACTAACTACATGTGCTATTTAACTTTAATTAATTAAAATGAAGTAACATTAAAAATTCTGTGCCTCAGTCATACTAGACACATTCCAAATACTCAATAACCACGTTATTCGGTGTCTAGTGGCTACCTTGCTGGATGGTAAAGATACAGAAATGTCCATTGTCATAGAAAGTTCTACTGGATAGCACTGCTCTAGAGCTTCAACCCCACCTTCCATCCTTGTCCTTTCCAATTCTTATCCTACTTGATTTGAGAATCAGACTCTTCCAAATTTTCATACTCTCCCTTATTCATAATATCCTGGTTCCTAAGGCTTTCTAGTCCTATCTCTATCTCTATCCTGAAATCTAAGATCCTATTCCTCACCCTACCCCCTTTATCTTTACATACCATCGCCATCTAGGTTTATAGTCCTAATTTTGTCTCTATTATCTCTGCCTGCTATGTTAACCTGACCCATGATTATCATCTATTTTTAAAAATGTGTTTTTATTGATTTGAGAGGGGGGGGGGAAGGGAAATGAAGGGATGGAGGGAGAGGCAGAGAGAGAGAATGAAAGAGAGAGAAACATCAGTGTGAGAGAGACACATTGATAGCCTGCCTCCTGCACACCCCCTACTGGGATTTGAGCCCATAACCCAGGCAGGTGCCCTGAGAATTGAACTGGGGACATTTTGGTGCATGGAATGAAGCTCAACCAATTGAGCCATACTAGCCAGGGCATGATTATAATCTATTTTAACTCAATTTTATTATACATTGAATATATAATAAAGAATATCCTATATAACAAAAGGCCAGAGAACGCAACGGCATCACAACCATAACAACCGTTAGACCAGAACCACCACGGCCCCTCCCCGGGCTGGCCCTGCCTGCCAGCAAGTGGTTAGGGGCGATCAGGCAGGCATGCAGAGTTGTTAGGGGAGATCAGGTAGGCAGACCAGCGGTTAGGGGTGATCAGATAGGCAGGAAAGTGGTTAGGGGCGATCAGGTACACAGGCCAGTGGTTAAGGGTTATCAGTTAGGCAGACGGCCCCTCGCTGGGCTTGCCCCCGCCCCCAAGCAAGTGGTTAGGGGTGATCAGGCAGGCAGGCAGAGTGGTTAGGGGTGATCAGGTAGGCAGGCCAGCAGTTAGGGGCAATCAGGTAGGCAGATGGCCCCTTGCAGGGCTGGCCCTGCCCCCCAGCAAGCAGTTAGGGGCGATCAGGCAGACAGGCAGAGAGGTTAGGGGCATCAGGCAGGCAGGCAGAGTGGTTAGGGATGATCAGGCAGGCAAGCAGGTGAGCGGTTAGGAGCCAGAGGTCCTGGATTGCAGTTGGACATCCCCCGAGGGGTCCCGGATTGAAGAGGGTGCAGGCCAGACTGAGGGACAACACCCCCTCCCCCATACGCGAATTTCATGCACCGGGACTCTAGTTTATAATATAACTGTAAGATATAAGTACTAAATAGTGATTAAAAATAAACTGCACACCCATATTTCCACTATATAGTTTAAGAGGTAGCCATATTTCTTAAATGTTTATGTACACCCTTATTTTATGTACCACTGAGAAAGAAAAGTTGATGCCAAGTATAATTCTAAGATGCTATAGCTTATAAGATACATCCTCATTTCAGAGATGTTAATCTTCCCCCGAGGATATTTTTTAAAAATATATATACATATATGTATTTAATATTTTTATTGATCTCAGTGAGGAAGGGAGAAGGACAGAATCATTGATCAGCTTCCTCCTGCACGCCACCTACTGGGGATGGAGCCTGCAACCAGGGCACATGACCAGAATTGAACACTGACCTCACAGTTCATAGGTTGACACTCAACCACTAAGCCACACCCGTCGGGCTAGAGGATATTTTTTCCACTGGTTTTTAGAGAGAGTGAAAGGGAGAGGGAGAAATCTCCATGTGAGTGAGACACATAGATTGGTTGCGTCCCGCACGTGCCTCTACAGGAGTGGGAATCGAGCCTGCAACTGAGTACGTGCCCTTGACTGAAATTGAACCTTCGGTCTGTGGACTGACACTCTCACCACGTAGAAAAACTGACTAGAGCTGGAACTTGACATTTTCTCTCCTTTTAAATCCTCACCCGAGGATATGTTTTTATTTATTTTAGAGAGAGAGAGGAAGGGAGAGAAACATCGATGTGAGAGAGAAGCATCAATTGGCTGCCTCCCTTATGCAATCCAATTGGGGATTGAACCCATAACCTAGGTATGTGCCCTGACTGGGAATTGAATACAAAATTTTTGTGTATGGATGAAGCTCCAACCAACTGAGTCGGCACTTAAAACTTTAATTCCAAAACACACACACACACTTGAATTCCCCTCTAAGAATTGCTTTATTTGCAGCTCCCCTTTTAAATGTGTAGTATTTTTTGTTGTTATATTTCAAATATTTTCTAGTTCTCCTTATGATTTCTTCTTTGATCCCTGAAATTTTAAAAAATTTTGAAGCACAGAATTTTTATTGTATCTGTGTTTATTATTTTAACTTAATTTCAATTTGATGAGATATCATGGTCTAGATAATCCTAATATGTTTGGATTATTGAGACTTGCTTTATAGCCTAGTTTGAGGTCTGTTTTCATGTTGAATGCAATCTTTTATCTTTTATCTTTTTAATAAACATCAGACCAAGCTTGTTTATTGTTTAAATCTTGTAAGAGGCTTACCATCTTTTAGTCTTCAAAGAACCAGCTTTTAGCTTTATTGAACCTTCATATTTGATGTTTGTTTTCTATTAATTAATTTTTCCTTCTAATTTTGAACTTCCCTTCCTAAATTTTTGCATTTATTCTGCTACTCCTTTTTAAACTTTTAAAATCAGGATCTAAGCCCATTGATTTAGACTTGTTATATTTTACTAGGGAATTGAACTTTTTATCATTATCCTTTTTATTTCTAGTAATGCTTTGTTGTAAAGTCTGTTTTATCTAATATTACTGTAGCTACTTCTACATTTTAGGTTAATATTTACCCTAAATTTTTAAAACCTTTTACTTTAAAATTTTCTCTGTCTTTATGATTTGGATATCTTTTATAAATAGCTTTTAACTGATTTTTTTCATCTAGTCTTATAATCATTGTCTTTTAACTGGAGCATTTAATTGACTTACATTTATTGTGACTACTGATATATTTGTATTTTTTCTGTCACTTTAATTTGTATTTTCAGTTTTTTTATCGTCCTTCCTACTCCCAAATCTCTTACTTGTTTTGGATTGATTGAATTATATGTATACTAGAGGCCCAGTGCACAAAATTCATGCACTCCCTCAGCCCAGCCTGTGCCCTTTTGCAGTCTGGGAGCCCTCAGCTGCCCCATGGGGAGCAGGCCTAAGCCATCAGTTGGGCATCCTTAGCACTGCCACAGTGGTGGGAGAGGCTCCCAGCACCGCCACTGCGCTCACCAGCCATGAGCCCAGCTTCTGGCTGAGTGGCACTCCCACAGTGGGAGCGCACTGACCACCAGGGGGGAACTCCTGTGTTGAATGTCTGCCCCCTGGTGGTCAGTGCACGTCATAGCCACCGCTCGTTCAGCTATTTGATCAATTTGCATATTAGCCTTTTATTATATAGGATAGTTCTTACTATATTTCTAGCTTCTTTAGTTCCAAAGGCATATGGTCATTTTTACATATAAATAGGAATTAGAATGTTAAGCAAGCACACAATTATTTTTGACATTTTAAAATGCTTACTTAACAAAGTTGAAAGATAATCAACAGTTATTCTCTACATAAATAATAAAAGGACCCCCTCAAGCTATATGCTATTTTGTCCAATGTTTTAATTTCTTCTTTTTTTTTAAAAAAAAAAATCCATACATTTGGTATTATTATTTTATGCATTTAATATTTGTTTGTTTAAATTTAACCACATATTTACTAATTTAGTTGCTCATCAAACCTTCTTAGACCTTTTATCTAAGATCATTATCCGCCAGAACCGGTTTGGCTCAGTGGATAGAGCGTCGGCCTGCAGACTCAAGGGTCCCGGGTTCGATTCCGGTCAAGGGCATGTACCTTGGTTGCAGGCACATCCCCAGTGGGGAGTGTGCAGGAGGCAGCTGATCAATGTTTCTCTCTCGTTGATGTTTCTGGCTCTCTATCCCTCTCCCTTCCTTTCTGTAAAAAATCAATAAAATATATATTTAAAAAAAAAAAAAAAAAAAAAAAAAAAAAAAAAGATCATTATCCTTCTGCTTGAAATACATTCTTTATTATGCTTTTTAATAATAGTGAATTACAAAAACACTCATAATTGGTTGCACATTAAATAATATATTATTTAAGAATGTATATGTTTGTAGTAAATACTGTTATCATAAGTTTTATAATAAATGGCTCTGGAGGGGAGAAAAGATGAAGGTATCAGGAAGAGCCAGATAAGGGGGTGGGGCGGGGGGAAGGCGACTTCAAAGATACTTAATGTTCTACCATATTTCATTAATTTTGACAAACCAATTTTTTAGGAATAAAAAAGCACATAACTTCAGATGCAGCACAAATTAAGAAAACATTTTGAATAATTTTATATCAATAAATTTTAAAACTTAGATAAAAATGTATAAATGTATAGAAATATATAAATTACTAAAATTGACTCAAGAAGAAATAAAAATACCTGAATAGTCCTATATTTTTAGTGTTTCCTGAAAAAAGGATTTGCATTGCTTCTGCCTGGCACACAGGTGCATAACTAGCCTATGATCACAAACAAAATACATAAATATTGTGAGTTTAGCTATGAATGCACTTAACAACTAGCCTATATTTTATGAATTCTTGGTCCGCACAGGTAACTTTGAAGTTCCAGTTTCATATGACAGACTTTTATTAGGTTCTCCTCTTGAGAAGGCTTTTTCTGCTATTTTTTGTGCCCCAAATGGCCAACAGAATGGTAAATCAGAGTCACCTGGGTTGAGTGTGTCTCTTCAAGGTGAAAGCTAATTCTGTCCTTGCTTAACACTCTAAGTCCTATTTTTATTATGGTTTTTGGCTTCTAAGAAAATTTTGCTCTGATGCCAGCTTGATGATGCATTTATAAAGACATTTTTCTCTTTTAATCTTTATTGCTGAAAGTATTACATATGTCCTCCTTTTTCCTCTGTTAACCTTTTCCAGCCCGCTCCTGTCCTCCCCACCTCCCCAAGCCCTCACCACCCCGTTGTCTGTGTCCATGCGTTATGCATATACCAGTATACATACAAGTTCATTGGTTGACCTCTGCCCACCCACCCTCCCCTGCCTTCCCTCTGAGGTTCAACAGTCTGTTCATGCTTCTATGACTCTGGTTCTATTTTTGATCATCAGTTTATTTGGTTCATTAAATTCCACATATGAGTGAGATCATGTGATACTTATCTTTCTCTGACTGGCTTATTTCGCTCAGCATAATACTCTCCAGGTCCATCCATATTGTTGCAAATGGAAAGAGTTCTTTTTTATTGCTGTATAGTATTCTATTAATACTATAAATGTACCATAGTTTGTTTTTTTTTTTAATCCACTCATCTGCTGATGGGCATTTAGGCTGTTTCCAAGTCTTAGCTATTGTAAATGGCGCTGCTATGAACATAGGGGTGCATATACTTTTTGTGATGAGTGTTTCAGGTTTCTTAGGATATATTCCTAGAAGTGGAATACTGGGTCAAATGGGAGTTCCATTTTTAATTTCTTGAGGAAACTCCATACTGTTTTCCACAGTGGCTGCACCAGTCTGCATTCCCAACAGCAGTGTACTAGGGTTCTCTTTTCTCCACAACCTTGCCAACACTTGTTGTTGGTTGATTGGTTGATGATAGCCATTCTGACAGGTGTGAGGTGATATTTAATTGTCGTTTGATTTGCATCTCTCAGATGATTAGTGACTTTGAGCATTTTTCATCTGTCTCTTGGCTTTCTGTATATCCACTTTGGAGAAATGTCTATTTAGGTCTTTTGCCCATTTTTAAAAACTGGATTGTCTTCCTTTTGTTAAGTTGTATGAGTTCCCTATATATATTGGATATTAACCTCTTATCAGATGTATCGTTGGCAAATATGTTCTCCCATGTAGTGGGCTCACTTGTTATTTTGATGTTTTTTTTGTGTGTTTTTTTTTGCCGTGCAGAAGCTTTTTATTTTCATGTAGCCCCATTTGTTTATTTTTTCCTTAGTTTCCATTGTCCTAGGACAGTGGTCGGCAAACCGCGGCTCGCGAGCCACATGCGGCTCTTTGGCCCCTTGAGTGTGGCTCTTCCACAAAATACCACGTGCGGGAGCGCACGTACAGGGAACGTTGTGGAGTGAAAGAAGATGTGGTGTTGAGGATTGAGAAAGGTATGTTGAGATGGTTTGAACATATAGAGAGGATGAATGAAAGGAGATAGACGAAACAAGTATACAAGACGAGTGTGGATGGGAGAGTTGGAAGGGGTCGACCTCAGCGAATGTCCCTCAATCAGATTGAGGACGTTTTTAGCAAAGGCCAGCTTAGGAGTACTCTAAGTTAATAACAATGTACCTACCTATATAGTTTAAGTTAAAAAATTTGGCTCTCAAAAGAAATTTCAGTCGTTCTACTGTTGATATTTGGCTCTGTTGACTAATGAGTTTGCCGACCACTGTCCTAGGAGATGTTTCGGTAAACATGTTGCTATGAGAGATGTCTGAGATTTTGGTGCCTATGGTTTCTTCTAGGACTTTTATGGTTTCACGTCTTACACTTAAGTCTTTTATCCATTTTGAGTTTATTCTTGTGTATGGTGTGAGTTGGTGATCTATACAAAGACATTTTTGAAGAGATATTTTATTTAGACCTTTTGTTGTTTTTAGTGGGAGTGTATCTAGTCTGCCATAAGGTTGAAAATAGTTGTCCTTTATTTTCGTGTTAACATTAATACAGTATTTACCATTCATTTAAGGTATCTCCACTTATTCTTATGAACATCAATTCTCTTTCTCCTTTCTTTTATTTTACTAAGGTTCTTAAGTTGGGCATCAAGAGGCCTGGATTTTATGGTCTCTGAAACTTGTTTTCTCATCTACTAATGGTTAAGCAACTGTTATTTCCAGCACTGGCCATGGTTCTGTGAGATTATCCATCTGTTTGTATGCCTTGTCTTCTGGTACATTCTGTTTCTCGTTCTGTCTCTATAATGCTCCACATGGGAGGAGAGTCTTAGGGAGGGCAGGTACACACCAGAAGGAGTTACATTAGTGGAGGGAGTTTCTGACCTCTAGGGAACGAAGTATGATATCCTCTATAATCTGAGCCAAACTTTTGCTGTTCCCTAGGTGTCATCTGCCTCTTTCAAGAAGCCCGCCATAGGTGCCATTTATTACGCATTTCCCAGAGTATCAGGGAGACTCAAGAGAGTCCACACCTGGAGATTCTGGAGAGTTTTGGAGGAGGACTGAGCTCAATGCAAAAGGAGACGCTGCTGAAGGAAGAGACAGTTATCTAGTCCCGGAGAGTCTGTCTAACCTTCATCAAGCTGTGTGAGTGCACGTGTGTGGGTGGCACTCCCTTCTCTGCCAGTCTCTGATGCTCCGCTTCCCTATACAGTGATTCTATTTTGATCATATTTGACTTTTTTTTTATTTGGGATTTTTGAATTCTTCTGAGTCTCTTGAGTGATCTCTCTCCTTCCCTCCTCCTACCCTCTCTCCCTTCCTTTTTTCCAGTCTTTCTTTTTTTGCAGGTGTTTTCAATAAAAGAAGGACTACTGTCTGTTAATCCATACCTCAAAAACCCAGCCTGGAGGGCAGGAGGGGAGGGAGTTATATTATAAAATGATTAAGTGAAATGATCTTTCATAAGACAAAAACCAAACAGAATGTAACCACTACAGGTGTTTGAGTTAGTTATATTAAAAAGAAAAAGTGATTTCCCCATACAAAAGTGTGACTTGGTACAGAAAACTTTTCCTTCCTTTTTTTTTATTCTTTAATCTTCACCAGAGGCTATTTTTTTCCGTTGACTTTTTAGAGAGAGTGGAAGAGAGGGAGAGAGGGAGAGGGGCAGAGAGAGGGGGAGGGAGAGGAAGAGGGAGAGGGAGAGGGTTAGGGAGAGGGAGATGGAGAAGGAGAGAGAGGTGTGAGAGAGACAAATTGATTGGTTGCCTCCTGCCTGGACCAAGGCCAGGAACAAATCTGCAAACCAGGTATGTGCCCTTGACCAGAATCAAACCCATGGCCCTTTGGTGAGTGGGCCAGTGTTTTACCACTGAGCCACACCAGCCAGGGCCAGAAAACTTTTCGTAAGTATGTGTTGGGAGGAAGAGTTGGAGTGGTTAAAGGTGAAAACATCCCCAGGACTGAATTCCAAGGTCTGGAAGCCCGAGCCTAATGAGTCTATGCCCCTGAGGAAAGCATAAAGCAATGTATTGGCATTCCATCCTTCCACCAGAGTCAGAAGCCTCCTGAGTGCACCTCTAACATGCCCTGTTCACATTCCTGATGGTGCTTACAGACTGACGAGCGCTCAGCCTACCAGCTAGGGTGGGGGTAACTGGGAAGTACAAATCCTTTGGGGCAATGGGGAGGCCAGAAAAGTGATCCTAAGTAACTGCCTCCCCACTTCCCTCTCAAAAGAACACACATGTGGAAAGCTCTTAGAACTTAAGTAGTGTAAATTCAAACACAAGTACAGGGAGCCCTGTACATCTTTCTGAAGAAATGTGATGGACGTAGCTAGAGTCAAGTGGGCTCTGTTGTGACTGTTAGCGTTCATAAAAGGTTGACCTCGTGCTGTGCACCTTGGGGGTGTGCAGAGGTATCAGAATCAGTTTCTGTTCCCTAGAGGCTTACACCCAAGCAGAGGAGCTAAGCATATACACCTGAAAAACAGCCACTAGGTGTTTTAATTATATTTTTTTAGTTTCTTATATTTCTCTCCAAAAGGTATCTCGGGAATTTCTTATAGTGATATGGTGACAGCCTAGTTCCAGTCATCTTGCTTATGTTCCTAAAAAAATCCATATAGGAACTATAATTATCAGTTAAACTAGGAATAGAGAAAATCTGCAAACTAAAATATGTAATTGTGGTCCAAACTGCCCTACACCAACGGAGCCAATATGGGAAGTCACAACTGGAAGAGTGGCATGGTGGGTACAGTGGGGTGGGTCAGACAATATATAGGGGTTGTAGTGGTGGCAAATTCCAAAACTCACTAGCAAATAGTAACCTTCAGGTGTCTGAGAAGGACCCACTTTGAGAGGGAATGGCTACGAATAGGACAGAGGAGAAACATGGGACATGTGTGTTAGGGAGACAGAGAAGGCATGGAATGTGCATGGGAGTCTATAAAGGGAAAGTTTTAGGAAGCACCACTTGCAAAAGAGAGGAGACCACCTTGGAAGGCAAATGACAGTATCCTTTGATAGCAATGACTGATGAAGAATAGGAGGAAATGAGCGATAGTACACTCCGCCCCTTTGAACTGTTAGGATGTAAGAACCAGAGGAATCCTGGCGACATGGGAACTATATATTAAAGAAAGTATCCCTCAATGTAACAATGGAAGAAAAAGCCCTCATACCGAGAACCTGGGAATGTTCTGCTACCTGACTCTTTCCTCAGTATCCATCTGCAAATAGCTGTGATCCAGAAAAATCAAACTCATTCAAATAAAAGAGTGAAACAGCAGTATCAATACAAGAGCATTATAGGAAAAAGCAGAAAGAGAAGCAAAAGTCTGGCTATGAAGAAAACTCACCAGAAAAGTGTTATCACAAAGTAGAGGACAATTAAATCCAGCACCAGGGCACGCGAAATAAATACCCATTGACTCACGGGGCTGTAAAGCCCCTAGACCAGCGGTTCTCAACCTGTGGGTCGCGACCCCTTTGGGGGTCGAACGACCCTTTCACAGGGGTCGCCTAAGACCATTGGAAAACACTTATATAATTACATATTGTTTTTGTGATTAATCACTATGTTTTAATTATGTTCAATTTGTAACAATGAAAATACATCCTGTATATCAGATATTTACATTACGATTCATAACAGTAGCAGACTTACAGTTATGAAGTAGCAATGAAAATAATTTTATGGTTGGGGGTCACCACAACATGAGGAACTGTATTAAAGGGTCGCGGCATGAGGAAGGTTGAGAACCACTGCCCTAGACCGAGAGGGAGGCGCAGTGCCCGGTGTACGTCTGCAGAGCCCTCCCCACAGAGGGGAAGCAGGTGGAAAGGCATGGAGGCGCTAAGGGGCCTGGCGACCGAGAGCCCCGAGGAAACCAGGTAGCCGGGGAAAGAGCCCCTCGCGGTCCCACGGGCCCCTGAACGGTGCCTGGGGATGAGCGACCATCGAGTCGCCCCGACCTCCGAGAGTCCTAGAGAGGAAACGGAAGGGACCCTCCCTTACGCACCTGTCTGACAGCGTTCGCCTACTTCCGGTCCTCGGAGGGCACTGGGGAACTTGGCGCGGTTGCGGGGCCTTGGGTGAGAGTCGGGTTGGGGCCACGAGGCGCGGTGGTGGTCGGGGCGCCGGGGCCGTGCGGTGGTGCAGGTCGGGGACGGCGGCGGGGCTGACGTTGCGGGAGGCGCGGCTCCTCGGAGCCGCCCGCCGCGCACCTAGGCCTGGCGGCGGGGGTGGAGTGACGCCCGCGGTTGGCTCAGGTAGGAGGGATGCTGATCCCGCCCGCCCGGCCGGGGTGGGCCTAACGCGCGGTCGTGGTCCACGAACCGGAGACCTGGCACCAAAGCGGAACTCTCTGAAACGGGAAAGTAGTTATTGTAGAGCAGCACGTAGGATGGCGAATAGTTACGGGGCGCGTTCTGTTTGCCAGGTGTCAGGAATAAAAGATGAGTGAGGATTTTTCTTGCCTTCTGGTAGGGAATCTGGTAGGGACACATTGGTAAACATTTGCGCTATCGTGGGATAAATGCAATAGCTAGAAAGTCATGAAAGAGCAAGCTCAATTGATGCAGGAGAGAAAATGAATAGACTGAAAATGTAAAGTAGATTTAAGAAGAGCAGGCAAATACATAAACACCTGATGGGATATTAAGCAGAAGCTTCGGATTTGCCTCATTCTTTGCTCCATTTATAGTGACCTTCCCTCCCTCTAAAAGCCGAGCCCCTTACCTGCTTGGGAGTTCTAGGTCTGTTTCCCCAGCCTAAGTCACCCCCTTTGCCCCACAGTGGAATTAAACAGTACTCATTCTCCAGTGTAGTGCAAGCCTCTTTTTTTCTCGTGAGTACTTGAGCCTACATGTACCTTTATCTTTTTGGCTTCCCATGTTTCTCATTTTGAGATGCTGACCTTGGCCAGCCATCTCACCTCTTACATCTTCAGTTTATGCATCTGAAAAGTAGGGGAAGTAGTACTCACTATACAGAATTGTTGTAAGTATTAAGTGAGGGTATGTGTTCACATGCTTTCTAAATGGTAAAAGCTACACAAATTAGAACTCAATCAATCAATTATAATAATGGTATATATGTTGCTCTGTTGTCTTTAGGTTGAGCACACACCCAAGCCACCAACCAGTAAATCTATTGGGTTTACTTCCAAAATATGTGTTGTCTTTGTCTGCTTCTTTGCCGCCATCCTGATTGAAGTCCTGTCAGTTGCTTGGACCACAGTAAGTGCTGCTGCCCTCCTTTATCTCTCTGTTCTTGCTACATTGCAGGCAAAATGACCTTTGTAGAACATGTAGCTCCCTACTAAAACAAGAAATAAGAGTAAAGCCCTTAATTCTTTTTTATTATTTATATGTTTATTGATTTCAGAGAAGAAGGGAGAGGGAGAGAGAGATAGAAACATCAGTGATGAGAGAGAATCATCAATCGGCTGCCTCCTGCACACCCCCCCCACCCCACTGGGGATTGAGCCCACAACCCAGGCACGTACCCTTGACCGGAATCGAATCCAGGACCCTTCAGTCCACAGGCCGATGCTCAGGCCGACGCTCTGTTCACTGAGCCAAACCAGCTAGGGCAAGCCCTTAATTCTTACTGTGGCCCAGGCCCTGGATAATTTAGTTTTTGCATGCCTCTGTTTCTACTTGTGTAGCTCTGACCATGACCTACTCTGCTGAAGCTACACTGCACTTTGGCTTCTTATCTGACATGCAGAGTAATTTTTATTCTCAAAGCTTTTGCCTGGAATGTTCTTTGAATGACTGGCTCATTCTCATCCTTCAGGTCTCAACCTTAGTGTCATCTCTTCAGAAAAGCCTTCTTGAAGTTGTTTGTCCCCCATTAACAGAAAACCCTACTTATTTCCTTTCTAGAACTTATCCCAACAGACAGTTGGGATGGACTGGTCTGTGTCTCATTTGTGGTCGTTGTCTGTTTGTCTTACCAACAGAACCTATTTGTAATTTTAATTTATTTGCTTACAATTGTTTTGTTTTCTGTTTGCTGCACTGGACAAGCATCTTGTCTGTCTTGTTTTCTATTGTATTTCTAGTTTCTGTGGGTCTGGCATATATATGTGTTGAATGTTTATGTCCTTTAGTTTTGAAGAGTGAGCCCAGGTGACTGACGTAATTATCATCCATCTTATATTATTATGTGACTAGAGGCCTGGTGCATGAAATTCATGCACAGGTAGGGTCCCTAGGCCTGGCCTGCAATCAGGGCTGATAGGGGCTGATCGGGGCCTTCCTTCCACGCTGCCCCCTGGTGGTCAGCATACATCACAGTGAGCAATCGACCTTCCAGTTGCACTCCCGAGGGGACACTTTGCATATTAGCCTTTTATATATATAGAGTGTTATCTCCCTAATGGGATCCTGAGGTACTTGTGGGTAAAAGCTAAACCCTATACATTTTATTTTATTTTATTTTTTTTAAATATTTTTTTAAATTAATTTCAGAGAGGATGGAAGAGGGAAAGAGAGATAGAAACATCCATGATGAGAGAGAATCATTGATTGGCTGCCTCCTGCATGCTCCCCACTGGGGATCGAGCCCGCAACCTGGGCATGTGCCCTTGACCGGAATTGAACCTGGGACCCTCTGGTCGATGTTTCTCTCTCATCGATGTTTCTAACTCTCTATCTCTCTCCCTTCCTCTCTGTAAAAAATCAATAAAATATATAAAAAAAAAAAAATAACTGAATTGAATTGACATGATTTTCAAGACATATGTTCAGTCTCTTGAAAATGTCTCCTAAAACAGTGGATTCCGGTCAAGGGCATGTACCTGGGTTGCGGGCACATCCCCAGTGGGAGATGTGCAGGAGGCAGCTGGTCGATGTTTCTCTCTTCTCCAATAGAATATTCATTGATGTAGAGACAACTGAGGTGGACTGGTCCATGTCTCATTTGTCCATGTCTTCCCAACAGACCCTCCGCATCCTGGATGAGAGTGTGAAGATGCTTAAAGAGCGTCCAGGGATGGCAGAAGTCCCTCAGCAGCAGATGGGTGTTCCTGTGGTAAAATTGGAGAAAGAGTTGCCATGGGGCAGGGGAAGGGAGGATCCTAGTCCTGAGACTTTTCGGCTGAGGTTTCGGCAGTTCCGCTACCAGGAGGCAACTGGTCCCCAGGAAGCCCTCAGGAAACTCCAGGAGCTCTGTCGCCAGTGGCTGAGGCCTGAGCTGCACACCAAGGAGCAGATCCTGGAGCTGCTGGTGCTGGAGCAGTTCCTGACCATCCTGCCCCGGGAGTTCTATGCCTGGATTCGGGAGCATGGCCCAGAGAGCGGCAAGGCCCTAGTGGCCATGGTGGAGGACTTCACAGAGAGAGCACTGGAGGCCAAGGCGGTGGGTGAGAAGGGTGTCTTGGGTCTGGTTTTGTTGGTGTGGAGAGAGGAGATTTAAAGAATTGGAAGGTTTGTGGAAGCGTGGGAGTAGATGAGGTGCAGAATCTTTCTCTGTTCCTGTACTCCCACATGTACTTTTTTTGGGGGGTGGGGTGGGTGAAGGGTAGCAGTGGAGTTTACAGCAAGAAAAGCCATTCCCAGGGATTCTTTTTTGGTCATTAGGGCAGAAACCTGACCAGATGTTCCTGTGAGCCTCAGACTCAAAAAAGGCAGTTGTGGTGGATTCCAAGGTCCCTCCTAGACCCATTCTTCTTTAGGCAGAGCTGATGTGGGAATGTGGGGAAGTCTACTTGGTGAATATTCTTACTGAGAAGAGTTGTCTGTAATGGTGCTGTTTCCACGTCTGGGACGTCGGCTCAAATGGCTCACATAGCGGTTCTGTGGTCGTGGTCTGGTGACACCAAGTAACTGCACCGCAGATGCTTCCTTAGACTCTGGTCATGTCTCTGTCACTCTCTAATACAGCCACCTGATTTTTGGGAAAGAAGAGAATGACTTTTTTTACTAGCTAATTTAAAACAAAATATTTTTATTGATTTCAGAGAGGAAGGGGGAGGAGAGAGAGATAGAAACATCAATGATGAGAGAGAATCATTGACCAGCTGCCTCCCGCATGTCCCACACCGGGAATCGACCCCACAACCCAGGCATGTGCCCCCACGGGAATCGAACTGTGATCTGGTACATAGGTGGACTCTCCACCACTGAGCCACGCTGGTTGGGATCATTTTACTTTCATCATCTGCAACTGGGGAATTTTTTTTCTAGTATCGAGACAATATTTTGGCTCTCTGTGATGTTATGGTAGGATTTGACCTATATTGAGTCAGACAGGACCCTTATAAAATGGCATGGATACATAAAAGTTGCTTAGAGCTTGAGAAAGGAGTTTAGCTTCCTTTTCACCTTCTCACTGATGTCCTGGTGAAGAGCTGAGCCACCGGTCCCTTTCCCCTGAAGTTGGAATGATTCTTTTATTGGCTCTTTCTTTAGGTTTTATTCAACTCCCTTCATAACAAGGCCTCATTCTAAATAGGTTTTGGGACCTGTTCTTAGGTTCCATGCCACGTGCAGGGAGAGCAGGAGGAGACAGCACTTTGCAGAGGCCCTTGGGAAGCAGGTGTCCACCTGGGACCAGTGGAGGTCAAGCCTGAGTGGGGGATGCCCCACGGGGAAGGTGTTCAAGGCCTAGACCAAGGCACCGAGGAGCAGCTCAATCAGGACCCTGGTGCTGCGACACAGGCCTTCCAGGAGCCGGGTAAGACGCAAACAGTAAAGAAGTAAGGGCACAGGAAAGGGTGCTTTGTGCCCTCTCCCTCCCCCTTTCCTTTACAAACCCAGCAATTGATAAACTACGTGCAAGGTGTAATTCTGAGTTTTTCCGGCTACTTCCTTGACTTCAGTAGGAGAGAGATGAAGTGAAATACCTTCACTCTTTGATTTTATCAGGCAGTATCTGGGATCATGCTCTCTTGTCATTTGTCTCCTTTTCCTCACATCCTTTTTAGAAACCGTCAGGAAATAAGCCCCTGACATGTAGAGATACTTGTAAGTTAGCAGACCAACCACATCCCTAAAAGTCATGTGTGACTTTATTGTATTACTGAATCTCAAAGGGAATTATTTCCAGCATAGGGAGCATCCACAGTCCTGAAGGTACAGGGTGTATTGCGTTGGGACCATTTTCTCAGCTGAGAACAGGGTAGGGTACACCCAGACCCCTATCTGTCTGGAGTCTTTGGGTTCTGGGGTTCTGTGAATCAGCAGTGGACACCTTTGAATGAGCTAACTGTAAGATAGCACTAATCCTGCTCATGTTTTTTTTTCTATCTGCTCAGCTGTTCCAATTCTTCAGGCTGGTCCTGGCCTCCCCACAGTGAACACTAGAGACCAAGAGATGGCAGTTGGGTTCCTCACAGCTGGGTCCCAGGTGAGCTGTGCCTCTGCCCTTCTGGTGATCATGATGTAGCTTTGAATGAGGTTCACTTTCCCCAGGATTTCTCTGCACAACAGGCCTCCAACCACAGAGTGGAATTATTCTACCTTTCTTGTCCTGACGGGCTTTGTTCTCCACTTCACCAACCTCAGCTGTTAATTTGAACTGAGCCTATACCTTATGGTCCAGGCATAAGGCTCAATTCCCTTGTTTGTATTACTCTCTGAGTTGTTTTAATTGACCCATTATTACTCTTTTAATAGTGAGGAGGAAGGCATTGTTGATAGAAACCCATAGGCCTGATCTAGGCTGTGGTGGTTGGTCAGGAGATCAGTAACCCTTTGTGGATACTTTGCTGCTGTTCTTCCTCTGGACCTCCCCACCCCCCACATCAGCAGGAGTGTAGCTGACGGAGGGTTGGGGCCTCTCAGGAGTGCTGAGCAGAGTGGTCTGTCTGGCCCCTACTTAAGACCAAAACCAGGAGTTTTGGTCTTGTTTGCACTTCTTAGCCTGCCGTGAGTCGGGGTAACTAGAGCAAAGATGGGGCACTCTTGCCACAGTGTAAGTATCTTCCATGAGATTACCAGGGAGGAGGGATTTCCAGTGTGGCACCTTTCTGAAAGGGACAGTGAGTCTTAAAGTGAAGAGTTCATTGTAGAAGGAAAAATGTCATTTTGCAAAAAAAAAAAAAGCAAAAGAAAAAAAGAGAAGTAAATCAGGTCTGATCTAGCTAAAGCAGAATTGGGTAAGATTTGATGCCTGTGTCATTTCCTATTCTGTTTTCTATGAAAAAGGTTTGGAGAAAATACAGAATGACAGCAGTGTGTTTTAATTTGGTCAGACCCTCCTTGTCTACCATAATAGTTCTTTATGGTATCATGAATGGCAATGCATTTATTTTAACAAGGCATTATTAAGACAGAGCTTTCCTAATGTTTACTTATTTCTGAGAGAAAATTAGTTCGAGCTGAAGGGGTAAATAGCAGCTCTCAGGCTTGATCAAGCTTGATGATTGAGTGGAGGAGATTGGAAAGTAGAAATTGGATACTGTGTTTAGTGGGTACAAACTGAGCATCTGCAGCAGAAACTCAGAAATAAATGGCTCAAACAAGTCCATTATTCTGTCATTAAACTGTCTAGAGGCAGGTACTTCTGCTCCCAAAGCCAGCTAGGGACTCTGGTTCCTTCCATCTTTTGCTCTGTTCTTTCCTAGAGTTTTGGCCCCTGTGGTCTCTGTTTTTGGTTTGCTCCTACTTCAGGATCATTTCTTTACTCACAGTAGTCTCCTGTTTCAGGGGTTGGGACCATTTAAAGATATGGCTCTGCCCTTCCCAGAGGAAGAGTGGAGGCATGTGACCCCAGCCCAGATAGACTGCTTTGGGGAATACGTGGAACCACAGGACTGTTCAGGTAAGACTGTTTCCATCCCACAGGTAAGAAACAGGCATTTTGGAAGCTACAGCCTTGCCCCAGATTTCAGAATCTGGTGCTACTGACAAAGGAAGGGGGTTTCATGGAGATGAGTAAACAGGACCAGAGAAAGAACATGGACCAAGGCTGTGAGAACTGGCTAGGCACATTCCTGTGTCAGGAGAGGAGCAGGCAAGGGCAAGAAAACACAAGGTAGTTATTCTGTTTGTGATGAGACAGGTTGGTCATTAGGATCCTCTGAGCATCTAATCTGTGTCCATCATTGAAGGGTACTGAGGGCTTGAGATCAAGAGAAAAGCAGTAAAAGATGGGACCTCTGATCTCGTTCATTCAGCATGTATTTATTGAGTGCCCCCTGTGTCGGTCCCATATTAGTAGCTTTGTGTTGGAGAGAACTAATATACCTGAAACCTTCGGAGCATGTAGAGTGTCTAGAGGAGGGTATGAGGAAGCACGGTAGGATTTTAGAGATAGGAGGTGTTGGAGTGCACCTGTGTCACTGAGCAAGCAGAGCCTCCATTTGGCCTCTCTCATGTGGTGGCTGGGTTTTACCTGAGGTGAGAGCTGGGAGAACTTGGTTGTCATGAACATGAAAAAAACTCATAGGAGGCAGAGTAGCAGGAGGGAAGAGTTAGCAGGGTAAAGGCCCTGCTGGGAAAGCCAGCAGAGGGTACTATAGGGGCTTGGGGACTTGCAAGTGAAGAATAGTGTGGAAAATCTCTGGGCTGAATGGGGAGCACAGTGGGGACAGGAAAAGAAATGTGGTTGGCCTTTCCTTTGTTTTGTCTAATTCTCTTTTCCCCCCTTTAGAACACTGTTTCTTGGCATTATGAGATAATAAATTTGGCAAGCATGGTAGTGTTAGATATTCTTATTAGTTGTATAAATATTATTAAGTAACTAGAGGCCTGGTGCATGAAAATTCATGCACTGGAGGGGGGTGTCCCTCAGCCCGGTCTGCCCCCTCTCACAGTCTGGAAACCCTTGGGTGGGAGGTGACCCGGCGATCAGGGAAAGGCAATGCCCCCATCACACCTCTGCTGCTGCCATTGCTGGAAGTGCAAGCCTCGGCCGGCCCTGGTCACCTGAGCCTTGGGTGGCCCTGGGTGGCTGGGCAGCTGACATCCGAGGCTTGCCTGCGCCTCGGGCCGGCCCTGGACGGCTGGGGGGCTGAGGGGACTGGGGGACTCCGGAGGCCTTGCCACGTACCTGCTGCCCCGGCGGGGCTGAGGGGATTGGGTGCTGCTATCTTGTGGCTGTGGGCACCACTGTCTTTGAGGGTGAGGCAGTCAGTTAGCATATTCCCTCCTTATTGGCTGTGGGCGCCACCATCTTTGCGATGGTGTGAGGGTCAATTAGCATATTCCCTCTTTATTAGATAGGATTCCTTTATGAGTCAGTAAGTATTCATTCATTTATTCACCCCAAAATCTTTATTTGGCATTTACTATGTGGCCAACACTCAGTCGCAATGAAGAGTTAAAAATAAAGGTGCTTGCCTCTATGATCTTAACAGTCCTATGAAGACCCCAAGTACCTGTAATAATAGTCATTATGGAGTAGTGTAAGGGGCACTAGAGGAAGGGGCTCAAGAGAACTGGGTCCAGTACAAGGTTGTTACACCATGAGAAAGAGATGTAAGATTGCTCAATGGTGGAGGATGTGGAAACCCTCAGAGATAACTGCCCAGTGCAGGGCCTTGTGCAGCATGTCTCAAATGGAGGTGCCATCATTCTAGTGTCTTACTTCCTGCCGGGATTGTACCTCTGCGAGTGATGTGACTGTGGGGGAAGGATTCTGCCCTCGTGTTCCCAGAGGGTTTTTACTGGCCATTTCTGACTGTATGTTTGTCCTCTTATCCACTCATTGTTTCAGAACAACCCAAACACTTCCCTAAGCATTTATGTTGAGTCTGGGTGAGATGAAATTCTGTTCCCAGGCATACCATCTGCTAGCCATCTCAACCTTCAGGTCTTCCTGAGATTCATTCCCAAGTAGTTACAGCTCTTGCAGTGATAGCTTTGTACGATTAGGCCTGAGAAAATAAACATAAGGCCCTGGCTGGGTAGCTGAGTTGGTTAGAGTGTCTTCCCCATACATTAAGCTTGCAGATTTGATTCCTGGTATCAGTGCATAAATAAGTGGAACAACAAATCTGATTTTTCTCTGGGTCATGTATTGCATTTAGTTTTAATTTTACTATTTAGAACACCTCAAAATTGGAAACTATCCAAATGAACATCAGTGAAACGAAGAAATAGGTTGGAATATATTCTTACACTGTAATACTATACACCAGTGAAAAAGAATGTAGTGTAACTACAGCTACAAACCATGATATGGGTAAATCTCACAAGCATGATACTGTGAGCAGAAGCCAGAAACAATGTGTGAATCAATTATGTAGAGTTCAAGAACAGGCAGATATACTTTATGGTGATAAAAGTCTGGATAGCACATACCCTGAGGGCAATATATAGTCACTGAAGGCGATGGGAAAGGAATTTCTGAGGGCTGGTAATGTTTGTTGAACTGGATGCTGTTTACAAGATTGTGTTCATTATGAAAATTCTTTGAGTGCTACATTTATGTTTTCTAAACTAACTTTCTTGATAAGTTTATGAAACAAAAGAATACATCAGAGGTGATAGCTGTGTTCTTCATATTTTTATCAAATCAGGAAGTATGTAATTTCTGTGTTGTTTTTGTAAAAAGTATATTTTTATTGATTTCAGAGAGGGAGAGGTATAAGAGAGAAACATCAGTGATGAGAGAGAATCATCTATTGGCTGCCTCCTGCATGTCTCTTAACTGGGGATCGAGCCCACAATCTGGGCATGTGCCCTGACTGGGAATCGATCTGTGATCTCCTGGTTTGTAGGTCGGCGTTCAACCACTGAGCCAGATCGGCTGGGCAATTTCTGTGTCTTTTTTTTTTTTTTTTTTTTAATCTTTTAATGACTTGCCTAAAAGGATTTTTTTTCCCATTTAAGCACCACTTGCCATTTCTCTCTTGGCTTCTTTGCTTCCTATTAATTTTTCTCATCTTTTTTCTCTTCCCCTTCTTCTGTTCTTCTATAAACAGTTCTGTTAATTTAGAGAGTGTAAGAGGGATCAGAGGAAGGACTTCTAGAAGGGGCAAGGCATTTCAGTAGCATTCATAGGCATTTCAGTCTTACTAAAGATGTTATGGTAGAGGTGGTCTGGTATAAGAATGTCAATGACAAACTGGGTTCATTTGTTCATCCAACAGTCATTAAGCACCTTTCATTAAGCAGGTTTATAATCATTGAGGAAGGCAAAACGTTTGGATGAATATAAAGTAGCATTTACAGTGAGGTCATATATAAGTAAGTGCAGAATAAGCAAAGTGCTAATTGAATACATATGTGCTGAAGAGACCCACGGTGAGAGAATAACCAGGGTGTATGTTTTTTTAAAATATATTTTTATTGATTTTTTTACAGAGAGGAAGGGAGAGGGATAGAGAGTTAGAAATATCAGTGAGAGAGAAACATCGGTCACTGCCTCCTGCACACCCCCTTATGGGGATGTGCCTGCAACCAAGGTGCATGCCCTTGACCAGAATCGAACCTGGGACCCTTCAGTCCGCAGCTGACGCTGTATCCACTGAGCCAAACCGGTTAGGGCAAGGGTGTGTTTTTTTAGAGGAAATCATTGAATTAGATTTTGAAGGAAATAAAAAAATCTGAATTAGAAAGTTAAGTGAGAAGACATTAAAATTTGGTAGACTACTCTGTGAAAAGGCATGGAAGTTGTCTTAGTTCAGGCTGCTACACCAGAATACTAAAGACTGGATGAGATGAGTGGATAAAAAAGCTGTGGTACATTTATACTATGGAATAGTATGCAGCAGTGAAAAAGAAGACTCTCTTACCCTTTGAGACAGCATGGAGGGACCTGGAGAGTATCATGCTAAGTGAAATAAGTCAGTCAGAGAAAGACAAATGTGATCTCACTCATATGTAGAATCTAAGTAACAAAATAAACTGATGAACGGAGTAGATCCAGAGACATGGAAGCATGAAACAGAGTGTAGAATCTTGGATGGAAGCGGGGGTAGTGGGGAGGGGATGTGGGGGGAGGGGGAGGTAATCAACCAAGGACCTTGTATGCATATATGCATGGGCCTAGACACAGACAATGAGGTGGTGAGGGCCTGGGCGGGTGGGGGTGGGTAGGCTGGAGGGGGTCAATGTGGGAAAAATGGGGAGATATGAAATACTTTCAACAATAAAGAATTATTTTTAAAAAGCAACTAAATAAATCTTAAAAAAAAAAAAAGACTGGGTGATTTAAACAATGGACATTTATTTCTCACAGTTCTGGGGGCTGGGAAGTCCCAAGATCAAGGTGTCAGCAGACACCTGCTGGCTTCCTGGCTTGCAGACAGCACCCTTCTTGACTGTCCTCTTGGCAGAGAGAGGGAGTGGGGAGGGGAGAAGAGAGATCTGTATATCTTCCTCTTTTTTATAAGGATTAGTCTCATTATGAGGGATCTTGGCCACATGACCTCTGTGTTTGTTCAGAGAAGCTCTGGTTTCTCCCCACCTCTTAATAGCAACATATTGGGCTTAGGGCTTTAACCTGTGAATTTGGGGTGGGGGTGGGGGACACACAGACATTCAGCCCATGACAGGTGGAAAGAAGTAAAGGAAAGTCTGGCTTTAGGGTCAAAGAATATAAAACATATTGAGGTTGGTGGTCAAATGAAAAAAAGAAGGAATTAGTTGTAACATAAATTAACCTTTTTTTAAAATTACAGATGCCTCACATTCCCCCCGCCCCCCAGCCTTCACCACAGTTGTCTTTGCCCATGGCTGTGCACATAAGTTCTTTGGCTAATCTCTTCATCTTCTTTTATCGAGTCCCTACCATCCCCCTTCACTCTGACATTTGTCAGTCTGTTCCATGTATCCATGCCTCTGGTTCTGTTTTATTCGTCAGTTTATTTTGTTCATTAGATTCCACACACTAGTGAAATTATATGGTATTTGTCCTCTCTGATTGGCTTATTTTGTTTAGCATAATAATCTTCAGGTCCATCGTGAGGTCACAAAGGGTGAGAGTTCCTTTTTTACAGCTGAGTAGCAGTCCGTTGTGTCAATGTATCACAGCCTTTTTGTCCACTCTTCTACTGATGGACATTTGTGTTGCTTCCAGATCTTCACTATTGTAAATAACATTTCTGTGAACATAGGGGTGCATATATCCTTTCTGATTGGTGTTTCGGGATTCTTAGGATATATACCCAGAAGTGGGATCGCTGGGTCAAAAGGCAGTTTCATCTTTAATTTTTTGAGGAAACTCCATACTGTTTTCCACAGTGGCTGTACCATACCATTCTGCATTAACATAAATTTACTTTCATTGCTGTTACAGAATCAGTATGTATCTCCTTTGTCCTATAGGCATTGGGAGCAAGGAAAAAGAGGCCAAAATCCAGCAGGCAGACCTCAAGGGGGCACTTGCTCAGGGGACCTCTGAGAGGTTTGGGGAAGCTGCTCTCCAGAGCCCTGAGCTTGGAAGAACCTGTGAGCAGGAGCCTGGTAATTCTGTGGGAAACATGCCAGGGCCTCCTCCCCAGCATGGCATCCTACCTGTACCTGATGACCTCAAGACTCACAGCTCCTTCTGGAAGCCTTTTCAGTGCCCTGAGTGTGGAAAAGGCTTCAGTCGGAGCTCAAATCTCGTAAGACACCAGCGAACCCATGAAGAGGAAAAATCCTATGGCTGTGTTGAGTGTGGGAAAGGGTTTACTCTGAGAGAGTACCTCATGAAGCACCAGAGAACCCACCTGGGAAAGAGACCCTATGTGTGCAGTGAGTGCTGGAAAACCTTCAGTCAGAGGCACCACCTTGAGGTCCACCAGCGGAGTCACACGGGGGAGAAGCCCTACAAGTGTGGGGACTGCTGGAAAAGCTTCAGCCGGAGGCAGCATCTTCAGGTGCACCGGAGAACGCACACTGGGGAGAAGCCCTACACCTGTGAGTGCGGCAAGAGCTTCAGCAGGAACGCTAACCTGGCCGTGCACCGGCGAGCCCACACCGGGGAGAAGCCGTATGGGTGCCAGGTGTGTGGTAAACGGTTCAGTAAAGGGGAGCGGCTGGTCAGACACCAGAGGATTCACACAGGGGAGAAGCCCTACCACTGTCTTGCCTGTGGGAGGAGCTTCAACCAGAGGTCCATTCTCAATCGGCACCAGAAAACTCAGCATCGCCAGGAGATTCCCGTGCAGTAAGGGTGCTCTGTGGAAATGCATCTTGTGGCTAATACAAAGTGCTGGACAAGGCGGGACCTTCTGGGACCACCAGATGGAGGGAGACCGTTCTGGAGGATGTTATTCACCTTTACTCACTGAAGGGTTTGGAGGGGGTGTTGAGGGTTATGGGGTGCAGAAAGACACCTTGACCCATTTGTTCAAAAGGAAAAGGGCAAGGCCAGGCTCATTTTGAGTTCCCAGAGAGCACAGCCTCTCCTATCTCTTACCCAAGTAGTGCTAACAGTTTTTCTTACCGTCTTTTGGGGAAACAATATTCTGAGTTTTAGTTCATGTTGAGGTTGTTCTCCTTCAGTGGGATGTTCATATCCACCTCCTGAGCAAGTCTGGTAGTGAAGGCAAAATTTTGTCCATTGTTGGCAGCTTGAACTAATTTTTCTGTGGTCTGTATCCTGCCTGCCAGGATACGAACTCTTATCTACTTTCTTCCCCCCACTCTCTTTTCCATTTAACAAATATTTATTGAACACCTACTATATGCCTGGCACTGGGAAGACGGTGAATGAGACAGATGAAACCTTTTTCTCCCAGAGCTTTTGATTTAGCACTGGAAACACACACAAAACCATTATCGTGTTCTAAGTCACATTGTGGTGAGTGCTGTGTAAGAAGATATTCTTGTACTCACTCATTCTGCTCTTCCTGCTTGGGTGCTGGATCTTTCCCTCCCTAGTCAGGATCACTCAGGCGGCCTCGTTTATTTTACTTTATTTGTAGCTCCCTTTGAAACATTCTACCCTCATCTGTAAACTTTCCCCATTCCATTCCTTGTATTATAACAACTGTCCACACATTTATTAGGAAATTAATATTTTGTTATTGATCACTGAATAAACATGAGAGTATTTTTAAAAGCATTCAGTTCTGTATAAAGATCTAATTAAGTCTGAAAGGTGAACTAGTATTAATACTCTATATTTGATGGCATTTTGCAGTACATAAAATGCTTTTCTCTGTGTTCTCACTTGATTAATTCCACACATATTTATTGAGGCCCAACAGTGTGCCAGAAGCACTTGTCGGTGCTTGACATATATCAGTGAATAAAATCGGAAAATCCCTGACTTCGTGGAGCTTACATTTTAGTGAATGTATTTGATCTTCAGAACCACCCAAAGTGGAATGCATGGATGCTCCCGTGAACCCTCTGGACCTGGGATCTGAGCCTATGCCTTGGTCCTGTCAGCTTCTTGCCCTGAAATGCATTTGCCACCTATGTCTTGTTACTGAATAATCTCTGTCCTCAGTGCATCTAGATCCTTGTCATCTGAGGTGCTTGGGGTCTTGAATGCCAACTGGAAGTGATGAGATGGTAGCAATCTGTTTTGCATGAGTGCCAATTTAGGAAAAATAAATATGTAGGCATTTAAAAAATGCATTTCTTTAAAAATGAGAAGATGCAGTATTTGTAACTGTGTTTAAGCTTTTTAAATATTATTTTGCCATCACTAAAGGGTTTTCTTTCTGTTTGAAATTCTGGAGACCGCATAATTCACATGGACTGCACTGCAGTGTTGTAATTCTGTGCCTCTGAATGCTGTCTGCTGAGTAAATTAGTCTTTTGACTGTGTACTATAATTACAAGATGTAATTTGTCTCGTGATGCCTCTTAATATTCTTTCACTGGGATTTTTTCCCCCCATTTTCCATTGTAAATAAGATAAATGGTGATGACTTCAATACAAGGAATTGCAATACTCAGTCCATTTTTTTAAATATACATTTTATTGATTTTTTTACAGAGAGGAAGGGAGAGGGATAGAGAGTTAGAAACACCGATGAGAGAAACATCGATCAGCTGCCTCCTGCACACCCCCTACTGGGGATGTGCCCGCAACCAAGGTACATGCCCTTGACCAGAATCGAACCCGGGACCCTTCAGTCTGCAGGCCGACGCTCTATCCACTGAGCCAAACTGGCTAGGGCACTCAGTCCATTTTGAAACACATTACTTTATCCATTTATTGGCAGATAGTCACGGTGTTTAATTTTGGTTGAGCAAATGACCTTCTGGCCCCTCAGCTGTCCACTCCAGGCTACACTAACCAGGATGTATCTGAGACGTCTACAATCTGAGACTCCGGGCTGCTGCTACTTAGCAACATCGGAGTCCAGATGCAAAATCGGCTTGTTTTTTCCCTGTTTCCCAGACAAACCAGGCAAAGCTTACAGCTACTTGGCAGCCAAACCTGATGGAAGCCTCTGGCTTCTGGTCTATAGACATGCGGGCTGACCTAGCCTAGAGTTTGACTTTCTCTAGGAGGTCCGTATTCCAAAGCTGGGTGAAAGCATGTGGCCACCACGGACTGGGGGTTGTTCATCAGTGGTCTTCCAGTTTACTTGAATTAAATTGTAGATTCTCTTTGATCATACGCTTAGCCAGAGAAGTCTCTGGGTTTTTAGCCAGTTGGAATCTCTTTTTTTTTTTTTAAATATATTTTATTGATTTTTTACAGAGAGGAAAGGAGAGGGATAGAGAGTTAGAAACATCGATGAGAGAGAAACATCGACCAGCTACTTCCTGCACACCCCCTACAGGGGATGTGCACGCAACCTAGGTACATGCCCTTGACCGGAATCGAACCTGGGACCTTTCAGTCCACAGGCCGACGCTCTATCCACTGAGCCAAACCGGTTAGGGCCAGTTGGAATCTCTTGAGAGAAGCTTGGATAAAGTCAGGCCTTGCTGTCTTCCCATTTGGGCTCCCCTGTCTGTTTAGAGACCAAAGCTTATGGACAATGTCTCAAAAGAGAATTTTCCCCGTGGAAATGTAGTAGCCTTATTTTTAAATGTCAAATATTTTCTGTATATTTCTATTTAGAGATTTGTTATAATAGAAAATTTCAGATGTGTATAAGTGAGTCCTCATGTATTCATCATTCTACTTTAATCAGTATAAACTTATAGCCAATCTTGCTTCATCTCTAATCTCTCCTCATCTTCCTCCCCCACTGAAGTACTTTGAAGCAAATCCCAAATGTTGTTTATAAATATTTTGGTGTGTACCTCTAAAGGGTAAGGACTCTAAAAGAATAATCACAATACTGTTATACCTAAAAAGTTAATAATTCCTTATTTCCAATTAATGTTTTTTTTTAAAAAAACCACATACTTTTTTTTAAAACCTTTGAGTTAAGATTCAAGATCCATAATTATAATTTGTTGTTTTGTCTTCTAAGTCTAATAATCAGTAGCTCCTATTTTTTTCTTCTTGAAATTCATTCACTGGGACAACTGGGTTCTTTATCCTGTAGTTTCTTACATTCTGAATTTTGTTGTTTGCATACCCATGGCATTATTTAATATTGTTCTCTGCTCTCTGATCAAACTAAAAACTTACAGATCTAGGGGTGTAACCAGACTCACATTTCTTATTTTACCAAGAATATATAGATGGTGGACTCAGAGGGTGTTGAGGACATTGATGGAGAGACCACTGAAATAATAGAGGAGAGTGTGGGAAAGAGCACAACTTCTGTGACTGAGAATCAGTCCCAGTCCTGAAACTAGGTTCAACAGAAGACTGGACTGGATTCTAGATAGTTCAGAATCTCTATTCAAGAAAAAAACACGTCCCTTTTGTTTTCTTTTGAATGTTTTATTTTACCATGGCTTCTTAGGGAAATATCTTAAGTCGTAATTCTTTTGTGCTTGATTAAGAAAAGTAATGTCCTGATTTGTTGGAGGAAAAGGAAGGATTTATTCTGCCAAGTCTGTAAGGTTAGCTGAGCTGAACTTTTTACAGTTGACCCATGTGCAGGTTGAGAAAGAGAACATTCCTATCTATTTACCTCTCAGCAAGCAGTTTCTGGGCCAGGATCAGAGTCAGTCTGAAAGGTGTTTGCCACAAGAGAATTCCTTACCCTATGCCCTTCCTTAGAAGAGCCAGAAATTCTTTAGAGCCAGAAAGTCTTCTCACAATCCACCAATAAGCAAGCTCAGTTGAAGGTCTTTCATATTTATTTATTGCTGCTCTTTCTCTTATTTAATTTTTTTTTTTTTTTTTTTTTTTTTTTTTTACCTTGGAACCAAACTATTGTATTATTCACCATTATAGCAAACTAGAGACCTGGTACATGAATTCATGCACTGGTGGGGTCCGGCTGGCCTGCCCCGATCAGGGTGGATCGGGCTGGTGGGGGTGGGGGTGGGGGTTGGGAATGCAGGAGGTTGGCTGGCCAGGGGAAGAGGCTGCGGGTGGTTGGCCAGCCGGCCCCACCCCTGATCAGGGTGGGGGGACTGATTGGGGAGGGGCCGCAGGTGGTTGGCTGCCTGGCCTCACCCCCTGGTTGAACTCCCTGTCGAGGGGACAATTTGCATATTAGCCTTTTATTATATAGGATGTATATTAAAGGAAGACCTCCATGTTTACATCAACTTTTCTACACATCATTTTTACATGTTTGAGGTGAGATTTTGTTACTTTCATTGTGGTTTTATGTTAGAGACTCAGGGAAGCATAAATTCTGCCCTGGCAATCATCCCAACTCCTGGGGCTTCCAAGGAGACAATCTAATTAAGGAACAATAGCAAACTTTGCACCAAAGTACCACTTTGTTAGTATCTGAGTTATACCCAGTAACCTCCATCATGGGATCACTGGTAAAAAGTGAGCTGGAAAATAGTCTAGGCCTACCTTACTTCTCTCTCTCAGCTCCAGATCTGAATTGAGGACCTGTGTGTGCAGGCATTGTGTGTGTAGTTGATTGGACCCCAAGTGGGGACTCTAGCCAGACACAAATAGAAGAGGACTAACAGGGGCAGGCTGGAAGGAAGGGAGCTTCATTTCTGGATGCTGACCTTTCAGGGCACACTGCCCTTCATAAGATATGAGCCAGTGAACTCCCCGGGCTCAGACCAACCAGATTGGTAACTCTTCTTCCTTAGAGGAGGATGGGGAGATATAAAAGTATTGGCTAAGGTAAAATCATGGGGAGAAAGCCCTTAAGTGTTCTTTCTCCAGTGTTTGTCATTAATGTCATTGTCATTTTCATCATAATCTATAGCAGCATACTTTTATTGAGTCATTATTTTAAATCAAGCACTGTGATAGTCTTTTGAGGATGAGTTCATTAACATGAACAGGACCTTTTATAAAATTTAAAAAGGACCCACAATCCTGTTTGGAGTGGAGTTGGGGTGAACATGGATCATACAAAGCAAAGTATGAAAAGGGTTGTAATAGGATTTGAATTATATGGAATTCCAGAGGAGAGAAATTCTTTTGGCTAGGAAGACTCGAGGTGGCTTCATGAAGGCATCCTATTTTATCTGGTCCAACTAGAATTTTGATAGAAATGGGCAAGATGGGCCTGCTGAATAGCATGAGTAGGAACTGAAAAAGTGTGGTGTATTTGGTAGACTGGTAAATTTCAAATGGCTTGAAGTCAAATGGCTAGTAATGGGGGGGCCAGGACTGGAAGCCAGTTGTTAGGACTTCCTGTGTAATGTTCTTTCCAGCTCTACCTCACTTCGTACAACATAGAATATTTGACAGGAAGCCAAATACAACTTCTCCAACCATAAGCTCATTTTATGAGGCTTTTCCTCTTTGTCTCCTTCTCCAGGTCAACTTATGGAGAAACATATTCCTAAAGTTTATGATGGCTTATTCCCTTTATGTTCTTCATACACAGAGAATCAACTCTAACTCTAGCCTCTTTTTTCTCATTACCACTATGTGGATGGCAGACCTTTCTTTCCTAAGAGAACACAGAAGTAAGATAGTATGAGGTCTGCTTAGATGCTCAAATAAAACAGTCACTATAGGCATTGATAATTCAAGTATCTTCAGCCATGGAACTCCATCTAGCAGGGTACAAGGCCAAGAGTGGGACACCTTTGGGGAGAATGATCAATCTGTGCCCAGAACTAGGTTCAACCCAGAATGTGGGAATATTGGCTGAAGAAGTGGGGGTTGAGTGGAGGAGTTTGGAAATTGGGATTCATAAGGGTTAAGTATTTGAGGAATGTGGGGGTGACTGGGGGTTTTCAGAGAGCACCCCTTTGGCAAAGGCATCAGCACAGGTCACAGATTTCTGAGTTGATTTTTTCATGTGGAATGGGTGGCCTTTTCAGCCATCTCTAGAAAGTCTCTGGATAAAGTGAATTTGCATCTGTTTATGTGGTTCTGTCTTTAGGGGAGAATTTATCTCCTTCTTGGTAGTCTGGGTTGTCTGTGCAGGGGCCAAGAAATTTTGTTATTTAAAATAATTTTTTAAAAATTTGATTTGAGAGAGAAAGAGAGTGATCAATTTTTTTGTTGTACCAGTTATTTTTTTTATTGATATTTTTTTTAAGAGAGAGAGGAAAGGAGAGGGAGAGAGAAATAGAAACATGAATGAGAATTCCAGAGGAGAGAAATTCTGCATGTCCCCTACCAGGGATTGAGCCTGCAACCTGGGCGTGTGCCCTGACTGGAGATTGAACCAACAACCTTTCGGTGCCTTGGTTGTGCACAACCAACTGAACCATACTGGCCAGGACTTGTTTCAGTTATTGATGCAACCATTGGTTAATCCTTGTATGTGCCCTGACTGAGGATCAAATCTGTAACCTTGATGTATTGGGATGACGCTCTAATCAACTGAACTACCTGGCCAGGCCCCAAGAAATTTTGGACTAGCAAATTACTTAGGGAGCCATAGCCATGGTGACAACCCAGGATAATGAAGTCTGTGTTCCTCCTGCCCTCTG